CATTTTACCTCTCCATGGTAGGAAGGAATAGGAAGCATTTCTCAGACATATTTGATCCCAGAAGTCTTTTTGCATCTCACACTGCCATCCATGATAAGCACTCTGACCCACCAAACACCCACATGCCAGCACCTGCCCTTCTTGTTACCAGAATTCTGATTTTGTCTGGGCAGCAATGCTGCCATCACCAGAGGATGAATCATGATGGGTTCTATGGCCATCCTGACAATCCTGTCCCTTTGCGAAGGAGTCACTCTCCTGGCCTCCCTTCTAGCCAAGCCTGGCCACAACCATGTGATCCATTGCTGGCCAATGGGTAACAAGGGAAAGTCAACTTGGAGGATTTGTGTCATCTTCTTCCCTGATAAAAGCATCTTTGAACTTTTCTAGCTGCCCCCTTTCTCACTTCTTGTGAGGCTGGTATAGGACAATGCCGAATGCAGCTGTGACTATGGTGGCTGTAGAACACGACACAAATTCTTTAATGCCCCTCCCATTCTTTAATGCCCCTCCCATTGAGAGGTGGTATTCTATGTATTGCCCTTTTGAATCTGCTTCAACAACAGAGTATAGCACAGGTGACTTCCATAGCTGGAACACTTGCCTTAGACCCCTGAGTCTCTGTGTACCAACCTCACGCCCTGACTTGGTGGTGCTGAGAAGTCCAAGCCACAGAAAGAGGCCAAGTGTAGGCACTCCAACTGACAGGCTCTGCTGAGCCTTCCTGAGTCCCTCTAGTTCAGGCACCAATGTTAAATACAGAAGTCTCTCTCAGTGTTAGAATAAAGATTCCTGCCTCTGGATGTTCAATTCTTCACAACTAAGGCTCCAGAAATTGTGGGGCAAAACTCAGCCATCTCCACTATGCCCTGCTTGCCACTGTGCCCTGTCTGAATTCCTACTCCACAGACTCTATCAGAATCACCAAAAAGGTTGGTTATACCACTAACGGTTACAGCAATTTGCTATACACCAATAATCCAAACAGACTCCATCTCTCAATCCTAAGGGAAAAGCCAAGAGGGTCAGAGAGCTATTGACCTAGAACCCCAACACCTCTAACCCGCTGCACCATCCCTAACTCCAGACTTGTTCATATGTGAAATCATTCATGTCTTTATTGCTTAAGCCACAGTTACATGAAGGCATCCCTAAGTGATACACCATGCTGCTGCTCAGCGACCCAGATTCAGGCCGGGCGCTCCTTTTTCCCATTAGCTGGGCATGGAAACTTACTGATCTTTCCTTTTCTGGCCTCTCCCTCTCCACACACTACCACCAGAATAATTTTCTAAAACTCACCTCAATCCCATTAGTTTCTTGTTTAAAACGTTCAAAGGCTCCCCATTACTTCGCAGGAGTTTGTAGCTGCAGCAGGCAACAGAAGCATCTGGAAGAACTTCAGAAGTCTGAGCATTCCAGGCCCTCTGTGTCAAGTGTACATGCAAACAACTCCCAGGCAACTCTGATGGGCAAGTCTAGTTTCAAACCAATGAGGCCTGCCGTCCCCTCCCCTTTCCTTCTATCCCGACAGAGCATGAGGCTTCCTCTTCTGTGCTCCCACTTTACTACCTTGTTGACACTTGTTACCATGTGACTTTTAAAATTTTTCTGTCACCCTCACCAGACAAGGAGCCACCAGAAGGAAAGACCCCTGTCACACAGAAGGTTCTATCCCCAGTACCTAGTACACTCTCTGGAGGACAGTGGCACTCATGTCTTCCCATGATTAGATGAATGGATGAATGAATATAGAACAGGGGTCCTCAAACTACGGCCCGCGGGCCACATGCAAATACAAATATTGTATTTGTTCCCGTTTTGTTTTTTTTACTTCAAAATAAGATATGTGCAGTGTGCATAGGAATTTGTTCATAGTTTTTTTTTTAAACTATAGTCCGGCCTTCCAACGGTCTGAGGGACAGTGAACTGGCCCCCTGTTTAAAAAGTTTGAGGACCCCTGATATAGAACAATAAACCCCTCATCTTTCTGCCTTCTCAGGTATGTTCTGTTTCCTCTGAAACTCTGCTCGCTCGCTCTCTGCCAACTGAGCAAACAGGCCAAGGAAAATACAGACAACTACAAATTAGACAAAAGTCTGAGGTTTATCATTTACTAGACCCCGGCTTGCCCAGCCAAGGAGGCCTGAAAACTCAAGGGCCAATTCTCTTATCTAACAATCAAGAAGCTGGAGAAACCATTGGAATTTCACAGTGCAAAGCACATTTTGAAACCATCCTGGTCCTGTGACTTCATCCACGCCTTGCAAATGCCACTCTGACCACCTGTGATTCACTGTCGGTCCTCAGCAAATAACCAAGCATGACCTACTCACTAGAATGAGTCCAAAAGGCAGGTCTTATCACAAGAGTGCCTTTCCCAGAAACCTACTTAGCCAGATGTTGCAGGGAGTAGGGGGTGTATTCCCCAGTCACAAAGGGAAACCCCCTTCTTTCGCCAAATCCCCGTTACCTGGAATGTACTTTATTTCACTTTCAAGGATGTTTCTAGGCCATAGTCTATAAAATCAACTCTGTGTTTTACTTACTCAAAAAACATTGGGGAACATGATGCTGATAAGGACCAAAATTACTGCAGACATACTTAATGTATGTTAGGCACCATGCTAAGTACATCACATACTTTCTCATTTTATTTTATTCATTTTTTAGAGAGAGAGAAACAGTGATTTGTTGTTCCACTTATTTATGCATTCATTGGTTAATTCTTACATGTGCCCTTACCAGGGATTGAACCCACAACTTTGGCATTTCGGGATGACACTCTAACCAACTGAGCTACCTGGCCAGGGCTCATTTTATATTTCTAATAATCAGTAGGTAATACCACTATTCTTATTTTAGAAGAAACTGGGTTTTTGAGCAGTTAGACAACTTTTCCAAAGTTCAACAGGTACTGATGGGCAGAGCTGAGATTTAGACCAGGATCTGCGAGGGGGCAGAGCCTGTATGATCCCTTTCCATGACTCGCTTGCTCTTGCCTCTGCCCCACTCCAACACTTATCCTATCCGTGCTTTACCTAATGAGAAAGAAGGAAGGTAACATTTACCTGTGCCCACACCAAGCACTTTCTGAGTGTTAGCTCCTTTAATCCCCAAAAATCTGTGAGGTGGATATTTTTCTCCCCATTTCACAGATAAACCTACTGAGGCTTAGAGAAGTTAGGAATGTGCCCAAGATCATAGCTCTTGGCAGGTAAGAAATTAATTTCAAAGATCATACTCTTTCCACCCCACCATGCTGTCCCCTTCTCCAACCTAAATATGATAGGGTTCTTTTTTTTTTCTAAATGATAGAATACCATGTGACAAAGAAAGTCTACCATCTCCCACCTCACAAGGAATACTGCCTCTCAGAGCCCCTCTGGTGTAAAAGAGGCAGAACACTATCATTGGGTAAGATCCCTTATCCCTTCTTCCTTATTCTTTATCCCCTTGGATTAAGTTATTTAATGTATCTGATTTCCCAAGGCAAGATCAGAGGGACAAGCTACAATGACATAAATACCTTCTAGAGTCCTCTCCCACCAGGGAACAGACAGACATATTCCCTTCATGATCCACATGTGGAACAATACTGAACTCACAACCCAAATGTTTGATCTCACTATGACTGCTGGGCTTAAAGGACACACCCACCTATGTGGAGGGCGGGGATCTGTGGAATGTTCGCAGCCAACTTCCCAGTCAGGCCAGCACACGCTCACCTTCACTCACTCTTACACCTGCCTATTACTCTCACACATGAACGGACCTGAACCATCAAGCCTCGCTCCACTCCATTTAGACAAGAACTAGAGGATGGCTTTTCCAAATCCATAAACTAGAGGGCGGGAAGCACCACTTGCTCTTTGCAAAAGAACCTGATGCCTCTTGTCTTCTTTCCAAAAAAATTTAAAAGCCATAAAATAAGAAGCCATAGTATGATGGCAAAAACTTCAGTGACTGAACTGTCTGTGGTTTTGTTCTGTTGTTTTAAAGTATCATTATTGAGCACATATATCTCAGATGCTACCCTGAATGTATGAGAAACATTATCCCATTTAATTCTGATAATAACCCTCCAGAGAATTACACTACTCATCCCAATCTACAGGTAAATAAACCAAGCATGCTAAGAAGCATTCACAAGATCAACAGCTGTTGGAAGCAGAGCTGAGATTTGAACCCAAGTTCACCTGACTCCCCAAGACACACTATACCCCACAGCTTTCCAGCATTATTTACTATAGCACCTTCCCGACAAGGACCTTCAAAATCAAAGAGCATGTGAAACTGTAGACATGGGCAATCCCTCTTTGTCCCTATTCAACTTCAAAAACATGAATTGGTGGTTTCTTGGTTTCTCTGTTATCACTAGAATTAAGTCAAAGGAACTACATTTTTGGAAACAAATCTGATCTATATGAATCACAGGCCTGAAAATGAAATGTGTTTTATACTCATGGCTGGACCCCAAGATTGATCCTGTATTAAAATTATGTAATTTAGGCAAAAAAAAAAAAAGAAAAGGATATCACTAAAATGTTATCATGTACCTTAAAACTTGCCCTAGCAGGGTTGGCTTAGTGGATAAAGCTTCAGCCTGTGGACTGAAGGGTCCCAGGTTCGATTCCGGTCAAGGGCACATGCCCAGGTTTTAGGCTCGATCCCCAGTAGAGGGCATGAAGGGGGCAGCCAATCAATGATTCTCTCCATCATTGATGTTTCTATCTCTCTCTCCCTCTCTGAAATTAATAAAAATATATTTAAAAAAAAAACTTTAAAAGCACCTCTTCAATCACATATAATTTACCTTGTGCTGACTTTCTCCATAGATTAATCCACCCAAGTAAGTCTTAGAGAGATTCTCCTTGTAATGTCTTGGTCGTACCACCCCTCCCCAGGGAAAGACTGACTTTCTTTGCTACCCTGGAAAGATCTGAGGGGTTTTATTCTTTACTGAGGAAGCTGTGTTTCCTTATGTACATTTAGCCTACCTCAGAGAAGAACTCATCCATGAAGGCTGTGTTGTCAACGGCAATCTCGACTTCATCGGCATCATCATCCTGTGTCAGCTGCTTCTGGGAGAGACACAAAGGAGCAGGTGAGACAAAAAGAACAAGAGCTCGCTAACAGTGCTGGGTGTTCACTAAGGACCAGGAGCTATAGCTGCCTTAAGCACTTTACACATATAATCTCCTTGAAAACACAGACAGCTCTGGGATGTGTCCAACTCCGAGGTCACCCTGTCTGAATTTAAATCCTAGTTCCACCATTTACTGATTTTTCTTTCTTTTTTTTTTTTTTTTTGCAGGGTGGGAGAGGGAGAGATGGGCAAGTTACCATCCTCGCTGTGCCTCAGTTTCCTTATCTGTGAAATGTTAATAATAACACTACTTACTGCGTTGTTTAAGAAATCAATGAGATGATAAATATAAAACACTTCTGCACAGTGTCTGGCATACTGTAAGTGCTCAATATTGCTAGGTTTGGTGGTGATGGCGGTTGGTGGTGGTGACATTACCAGTCAGAGAACCAAAATCAGAGAGGTTAAGTAACTTGACCAAAGTCGCATAGCTAAAATGTGAAAACAGGCGATTCTAGCCCATCTTGGATTTGGATCCCATGTTCCAACCCTTTCTGCAGTGTTCAAATGCGTGATCCACCCTACCAGGCACCCCTAACAGTTTCCAGCCACAATTCCTCCAAACACTAGTCTCACAGTAGGAGTGAAGATTTTCCTGTTTTCTGAAACCACTTATTGCAAAGGAAACAGCACTTTGTGTTGTCCCCTGTCAGTGTTCATGTTTATAAGGAAAAGGAAGCTCTATCCCCAGCCACCCCCAGGGACCCCAGCTTTCTTAACCTCATTCAACTTCCTCTGCAAAATCACTGAATGGCTATCTAAAGGAAGGGCTTCCCTTCCCACAGGCACCAAGGGCCTGAGCTTCTGCTAGGTTCTTCTCAAATTTTCTTCCCAGACCACTGCTACACTGCACACTGCCTATTTCTAAGCACAGACGGAGAACAGGGTGTTGGGGGTGAAGGTGGGAGGGGTACACCCCTTACCCAGCTCCTTCACAACCTTCAATGGCCTATGGCCTTCTAAGCCAGGACATGTCACTCGCAAACACTCAGAACTCCACAGGCAATGAGAGCCATCAGGGGGCTCTTTTCTTTGCGAGCTATCATCTCCCTGATCTACCACAGAAGATGGAGTTACTGGGACTAACCATCAAAATTTGGGGCTCTCTAGCCATTCAGGGAGTCACTTTTGACTGGCGCCCCCATCATTTCATTCTGTGGCTCAACTGGAACCATCAGCCACCCAAGTTTAACAGCCACATTCAAAGGAGTTAAATTTGAGGAGCTGCTACAGCCCCCACAATTATCTTCCTAAAACTAAGAACTGATCATGTCCTTCTGCTACTTAAAGTTATTCAATGACAGCTCACCTCCTAGGACTAATAGTCCCAGTGCCTAACAGAGCATGGGGCCCTTTAAGATCAGGCCCCACCCACATTTCTCCCTGTGTGATGCACTCTCTAGACCAGGCACTCTTGCATTTCCTGGACACATCACTCTTTCATATTGCTGAACTGTCACACAAGGACTTCCTCCTGAAATGCATTTGTCCAGCTGGCAAACTTTTACTTAGCCTTTAAAACTCAATCTCCAACAATCTTAACCTGTCAACCTTACCTGACACTTCCCCACATGCACAACTTAAAACCTCCCCAAGGTCCCAAAGCAGCCAACACACCCTACCGTTAATTACCCCTTTATTTGTCTGTCCTTCCCCCATTGACTATAAACTTCTGCAGGGTCAGGGTTGCCCTATGTATCTATTACAGTAGATCCCTTGAGTGTATGTGCCTGCCCAAAACACCTTCCTTCGTGGAGTTAGCCCTCGCCTTTCCACATGATTCTGGGAAGGTTCTCAGTCATGACCCAGCCTCCCTGAGGAATTTGAATTATGAGGGGAACAGAGCACAGTTTAGATTTCCTCTAGATTCCCAGAGCTACCCTCGTTCTGTCCTTCCCAAGCCACCCCCTGGCTTACAGCAGGTTCTCCAGACCTTCCCCAGTGTTCTTTCAATGAGCAGAACAGTATTCTTCTAAAATTTTTTAATTCATTTGGCCAGAATCAGCTTTTGTCACTTGCAATTAGAATTACTTGTACTTTGTTATTAATTAATTTATTCTACATGTATTCTGGACACGTATCCTGTAATAGATATGTAACAGCAATGTCATCAATTTTAGCTGAATAACTAATTTCCACATAGACTAGCAGCCTAAATTCACCCAGCAGTTTGTAAAGTTTGTAAATGCTCCCTTTATCAACTATCACCAATACTTGGGCCTCCCAGCAGCCTCCAGAGAGCTCATCTCCCATGAAGGATTTCGTGATCCTCACTAGAAAACAGGAACCCAGTTTTCCTCTAGGAAGCATTTGTTGAGAGTTTCCTGTCCTCAAAGGTCTTAGAGACCCACGCTGAGGGGACAAACCCCATGTATATGTGTGTGTACATACATACACCCCCATGCATGAGTGTATCAACTCAGCTTTCTTCAAGACACTGGTGCTAAGAAAGTGTGGCTCAGTGGTTGAGCATCAAGCTATGGATCAGGAGGTCATGGTTCACTTCCTGGTCAGGGCACGTGCCTGGCTGGCTCAATTCCCAGTGCGGGGCGTGCAGGAGGCAGCCAATCAATGATTCTCTCTCATCATTGATGTTTCTATCTCTCCTTCTCCCTTCCTCTCTGAAATCAATTTAAAAAATGTATATTTTTTAAAAAGTGGAATAAGGTTACCATCCCAGGATGGGACTGAGAGAAGTTTCTGGAAGCTGGGAACAACTGTGTCCTGGAGCAGGAGAGGCAGGTGCCTAGTTGTCCAGCATGACGTAAATTTTCGAGACCCGTGGAATTTGTACAGGGATCCCCCACTTCCAAACAGCCACCTCTTGGTTGTTGGCAGGCTCAAACAGGGCAGCCTGGTCCACCTCCAGCGAGAGAATATGTGAACTGGGAAAGGGGACGTCTTTGGCAACTCACAGCCTAGGTCCAAAACTTGTTACCCACTGCTGGCTGTGAGATCTCCATCAAGTCCATTACTACTCTGAGGTTTTTACCTATAAACAGTAATAACACCACATACTTGATCACTCTCAGGAGGGTTAGAGAAGATCACATGTGGAAAGTTTCTGGCACAATACTGGGGACACACTGGCACCTAATAAGTGCCCGTGTTCCCCTCACCTAGCCGTGAAGACCTGCTGCCCAAAGAGTGCGTCCTCATCCTCCTCCTCAGGAGGTTCTCACACTAAAGGCTCATCAGTAAGATTGACTGCACAGCGTCATGACAACCAGAGTTCCATAACACACTCCATTGCATACTGGTCACTTCAACAACTGGTTTAACATCTCTGAGCCTCAATTCTCTTATCTACAAAATAGGAGCAATAGTGTCTACCAGGGCTTTCGTGAGGATTAAATGAGCTAACATTTTAAAGTTTCTTATGCAATGAACAACACATAGTAACAACTCACTAAAACACCTGTATATAAGATCTCGCCAACTTCTCTATAGCTTTAACCTGGATATAAGTACCTTTAAATTGGAAGTGGGCAGGGGAGGAAAGGAGACTTGTAGAGCTCAATGCAACCATACAGATTCTATCATTAAATTCTCTCACTTAGAGATGGGCAAATTAAGGCCCAAGACCAAATAATGAGTTACTAATACAGCAAGGAAGAGAACACAGGTTTCCTGAATGCCACCTTCTCAGGCAGTTCCTCCCACTGTGGTGTTTGGCTGCTTCCAAAAACATAGAATAACAACATGAACAACAAGAGCAACAAATGGCAGATCAGAAAATTCAAGGAAGAGGGTCAATCTCACAGGTGACCTGAATAATGTGGTTACTCAGAGTCACGTGGCACTGGGAATTACCACCAAGCTTATGCAGAAGGGACTTAGCAGAGCCCAGAGCTGGGGCTCCTTCTCTTGTGACCCAGCCATGCCCTAACAGACCAAGAGGCCTCAGGGACCCCAGCGGCAAGGGAAGCACATGGTGCCCTTTATCTTCAGCCCACATGACTGAGCACAGCCAAGAAGAGAACTTCAACATCTTTATCAAGGAATCAAGGCGTGTGGTAATAGGAACGCTCCAGTAGCTGCAACATTAGCCACAGTATAAAAAAAACCAACGTATGTGAGAACCATGCGCCCAACTGCCCACTTCCTCTCCCCACACCCTGACCCCAGCCTCCTGCTGCTTCTCCCACCAGGAGGTGGGAGATATTGCCAGTGACTTAGGCAGCACTAAGCTAGAACCCGGGACTTATCACCTTCCCCACCTCTCAAATGTGTTCCAATATTTGGTGAGGACAGCCAGGGCTATGACCTCCTCTCTGGATAGAAAGTGGAAAGAGTTCAGGGGCCCAGATCTCAATATGAAGTAATTTAACCTGTGATTCCTCTCATTCAGCACTCACTGCCTTTCTCTCCACTGCCTTATCTACCATACTTAGTCTATCGGACTCTTCATCAGTTCCTTTAATAAAAAATACTTGCCACATAGAGTCACTGGTAGGTGCTAAATAGCCACAACACTAGCTGCTTTACATAAACTATGTCAACAAAAGCCACCTACATTTTGAAGTTGAGAACCTGCAGGTCAGAGAAGTTCTACGTTATTCAAGGTCTCCAGCTATTCGTTTTCAGAGTCGGGGCTCAATCTTAGGTTGTCTGTCCTAAGCCCTTGCTTATTCCACTGCACCCTGCTCTAAGCAGCCTATCACCGAAGCAGCCAGGGGCCCAGGAGAGCAGCAGCCCAGCCCTGCAGAAAGCACCCATGGGAGAGAGGAGCTGTGGACCTGCAGCACTTGTCTCCATTAAGCCTTGATTTTCTCACCAGGAAAGGAGCTTAGCTTTCCAATTTGGCTTTTTGGAACCTCAGGACACCTCAGAAACCACCCAGGGAAGTAAGGGAGGGGAAGTCAAGCAGGTGCGTCCTCTTCCCCTGGTCAATCTGCATAGCTTCACTTTTACCTGCTTTACACATTGGGGTTC